TTCAATTACTGTTTTAGTCACATTGCCCCCAACTCAAACCACAACTCGTTGGTAAATAATCGATGAAATAGTTTGTCTGGACACATTCAAGTTCCTCTCATTGTCACATTAAAGCTGTGAAAATATGGTGTTAATCCAACGACAATAAGTACAAGTTATTTTTTGTTAAAGACCTTGTATTTTAAAAAACATAAACTTCCAGAAAACGTCCATGAAGTAACAGCAAAGATTTTCAAGCTTGTTTATCGACACAATCAATTTGTTTTCTCATCAAGGTCTGTTTTAACATGTGTAGGGGCATCCAAATGTGTAAGGCTATTAGAAACCAAAAAAATAAAGGAATGGGATAGCTATAATTGGATAAATTCGGCATATGAAAACACCAAAATCAATGATTTTTTTCAGTGGCTGTGTGACCTTGTGTCTGACACATTCATATGCAAATGACTAATCTGTGAAACAAACAGGGGCGGAGACAAACCACTGGAATGTTTGGAAACACTCATTGTGTGTCAGATAGCTACTGATAACACATCCTAACATTGCTTTGTCTTGAGTTTATCTTTGAAACTTATAGGCACACAGATTAAACCTGTATTGTTGATTTTGGAAAACACTACTGAGGCTGCCTTGCTTCCCTTCAGAAAATCTACATTTTAACCAACTTACATGACATTCTATGTTATGTTGACTTTATCATATGAAAGTTTATAGTGCATTTCATCAATTAATAAATAAATGTGAAAATCGTAATTTTCAACACAAATAATAGTCTCGCTACCTTAACTGTCTGTTATAAATACACAATCAGTGTAGGTGAAACCCCCTGCTATACTAGCATCATTTACAATTTCAATAAACTATCATAACATGATTTACAATTTCACAGCTTCAACTATGCCATGGTTTTATCTGCTCACTTAGATGGATGAAATTGCGGTGGGAATGTTTGGTTATTCTGGAGGGCATCAAAGGTTGTTTTGGGGAGGGGGGGTTGCTAGATACTAGTAGTGGCCTTCATGTCCTAGACGTGAATTTTGATCCTACCAATGTCATTGAAAACACAATTCAGGTAATGAATATAATCACAATCTGCTACAATTCAGTGGATTATAAAAGTTCAATAATTGTGGCGTTTGCAGATTCATTGATTCCTCCATGGAACTATAAACCCATAGTTATAGTTCCATGATTCCTCCAATTTCTTTGCGCTAATGATGAAGCACTAGCATTGTTGCAATTATCTAGTGATGTATAAGAATATTAGCATAACAATCAGTCTGGGTTTAGTATACTAAAATACAATTGAGAAAGCTTTGAAATTTAAATTGATTATAATATTATTTAAGATTAATATCATACTAAATGAGACATCGTATGTTTACAGATATCAACAAATTCTTCAGATGCTGTGAATAGACTGCAAGGCTTGAAATCCTTTTTTTTTTTTTCCTTGGAGTCAAAGTGAGATACCAATTTTAAAAGCTGAGACGATAATGTTGGGTAGTTCATCAGTGATTTTATACTTGAAACTTTGTAGGACAACTCGTACTTTATTTTTGGAGAGACAATTATTTAATTTGTAGTAGTAGTACTGTAGTCAAGTTATGCTACTATTTTTAGAAAATGTAATTTAAAGGAAGAAGCAATGTAGTCATGCCAGACTTGTTGTGCACAATTTTTAATTCTCTGTGTGAACACACTTTTTGACCCCACACCTTGGTTCAGCCATCCAGAATCAGAATCTTGTTTTGCTTCTAAAATGTTATGTTTCTGTTTGTCTACATATTTAAATAACCGTTAATTATTTCTACATGTTGCGTTGAAATTATTTTCAGCAACTTGGTATTGATATTTGAGAGTCTGAATTTGTTTAGTGCTTTATATTTTTCTTTATCCCACCACGCTGGTTGGGATTGGTTCCGGATACGAGATTTATTAGTCGACTTCATTTCCGATGCAGCGTGATCAAATAATTCATCCAGTACATGTTTGGCTTGGTTGTGATTATTCAGTGTGATATATTCAGAGGCTTCTGCAAGTTGATATGAAACACATGTGAAATAAAAATCATGTTGTGTGTTTGTTTGCTCTATCATGACAACTACAAATTTTACCCACTCTGATTGAAGCATGCATTTGTTTGTTTGTTTGTTTGTTGTATACTATATCGGCAGATCTTGCAATAGTGAATTTTCTGACTGGAAGTTACTGATAAATTTCATGAATTGTAGTCACAGAAAGCAAACATGTTGTTGCTGCTAAAATTCCACAATCTATACTATTCATGTTTCTCTTTGTAGGTTCTGCAGAAGATGAGATTCGTTCAGCGTATAAACGATTAGCATTAAAATGGCATCCGGATAAGCATAATAACTCTGAAATTGCTACTAGGGTAAGTCACATTATGTAGGGTAGGGTAAGTCATAATAGTTTCATGATTACTGATGACATTTTTTACAAATCATTGATTGATGTTGTCTATTTTGCTGATGTTTCAGAAAGCAAAACTCAAATCAATAAATTATGTTTCTAGACTGTACTTAATTGTCTGATTAATTGCCGTTTTTTAGTTTTTTGCTGACTGCAGAACTTGTTAAAATCAAATGAATATTAAACGGGCTAGAAAAAAACAATGTTCTTGGAAGTGACTGAATTAATATATCGTATAATACCTCATATAGGCGCCAACCTGGATTAGGCGCCAGCACAATAGAAAAGGTGATAATTTTCACACCAATAGGCGCCAGTCAAAGTTGAATGTTTCTGTATGACTTTCCCCATCTGGCTGACATTTGCCTAACACTTGAGCTAATCTTTTTGTAAAATATAAGAAGTATCAGAGGTGTAATTTTAGTATTGGAAACAAAAATAAACAGTGATTTCAAGAAGAGATCTCTAACCATGCATTGAGAAAGAAGCTTGTAAAAGCATACATGTATCAGTTTGCTTCACATATGCATACAGTACTGAAAAAAAAAAACCATCCGACCAACCATGGAGCTAAAAAAAGGAGAGGGAACTCCCTTTGATGTTTTTGTCACCATGACTTCTGTCGACTTTTTGGTCAACAGATAACATTTGACGGGTTTACCGAGGGATTAATAGACATGAATATTTAATTAGATATGATCAGACGTTCTCCGATGAGTTCGGTCGTTATTACAAAGCAAGGTGAGGGACGAAAATATTTTTTTTAAACGACTCAAGTAGGAAAAAAAACATGGTCAAAATTACTCAGTAACGGCTAAATTGGTGATGTGTATTCCACAAGTACATTGTATTTGTGAAGGAATCACTGTAGCAGGAAACAAAATATCGTTCAATCCGCCACAATTGAAAGCAACGCAACGCATGTCAAATTCAATCGGCGAGCCCGTTTTGGCCATCATATATCGTTATTGGCACCTACCCTAGCATGACGTAGAAGAGGTCAGCTTACTATTTAACTAAATTTCGGCGTCCACAGGCAAAGATTTGATGAAAAAAATTTTCCCAGAGCTCAATCTAACGTGTTGTTTATACAAAACGTGTGTTGTCTATGAGGGCCCACACAGGAAATAGGACAGAGG